TTATATTCTCTAGGCCTTTTTTCCTCATTATCTATCGTAGGAATTTCCAGTTTCTCTTTCTGATTGTAAATATAAGTTTCCTTGTTCCTATTTTCCTTCAGACTTCCTTTGTGTTCCTATATTCCATCCATTGTATTCTGATCTTCTCTGTTGCTTCAAGTTTTTCTCTTTTTATGTGAGGAAATTGTCCAGCATTCACTACTGTATAAGAGGTTAGATATCAACTAACAATTCAGCACTCTTTTCTTCATTTCTCATGAAAAGTTCCAAGTTCTTTTACTATTTTGGGGCCTTTGGTGCCATAAAGGTTAAGAAAAGTGAGAGAATAATATAAGACTTTTTTTTTAACTAGTGGGTTCCTGACTTGCATTTGTTTCAATGTATTCAGTGAATTAATACCTCTTTTTGAGCCTGTTTCAGTATTTATTTTGAGAACCATAAATTCTCATTGTGTAATTTTTTTTCCTCCCCCAGCTATGGGTTAAATAGCAGAACTTGGATCTGGAAAGATCATTGTTATTCTTAAAAAATTGTTAATGCAATTTTCATTTGCAAAAAAAGAAAAAAAAAATCAAATCTCAAACGTTTCAGCTTTAAATAACCCACAGTTGATAACCCATAAAAATCAGTCAATGATTGTGTAATTTCTTGATTTCAGGGAATAGACTTTACTTGGCTTGAATTCTTAAAACAATTTTTAAAAGCAAAGATATTTACTTAGTGCAAGTCTAGTTTACAAAAATCATATTCCACCAGTCATCTTTGGTAAATCCTTATTTAAAAACATTGATTTTACTCAGACTTGAACACCAACCACTGATGCCAGGTAAGAAATATGTAACAGTTTCCCCTACCAAGCACATTTCAATTAGGCTATTCACTTGTTTTATACCTACAATATATATTATCTGAAATCTCTTGACAGAATTGAAATTGTTAAAAACATTTCTATGTGTATTTTAAAACCACTTACCAGTTCAACTAATGTTTATTATCAAGCAAAGCAACTGTTTTTAAAAGACCCCCACACACACACACTTACATACATAAATACACACACATGCACTTTTATACATTATCATTGATTATAGAACATGGTTCGCAGGTGGCTGTGGTTGGTGGTATTGTTTCAGCTGGGTAAGTAATTCCTGTGGCAGGTAATTAATTTCCCAAATGGTGATTAAGGAATCCAAGAATTCAGGTAATCAATCCAAAAGAGAAGCAGCAGAATAAACAAAGAAAAAAAAAGCACACTAATTGGGTAATTGATGTTGTGGCAAAATCAGCAGGTAATTAGCTTAGTCTTGGGTGGTTGAGAGGCAAGAAGAGAACAGGAAATATTAGTTTAAAGAAAACAGGACAAGAAGATAGTGGAAAGATAATAATTCTGTTATTTCCAGGTCCAAATAATGGATGACAACGACAATTGGATATAAACATTTGCAAAATCTTTTATATGTAAGATGCTATCCAAAAATTTGGGGAATCAGAACAGTGCACTTTTGGGCTGAATGTAGTACAGATTCTTGTCAATCACCACTGTGAGCAGTAACCAAGCATCTTTCCACATCATTTTTGTTAGTCGTACTTTATAGGAGATAGTGAGTACTAGGGCTAAACCAGTTAATCACTTGATAATCAGTAATGTAATTGCTCTCAAAGATTGGATAAAAAACTAATGAAAAATTCTCAGAATATTATTTAAATTTATTCTATGTCTGAGATAACTAACGATTCGTAAGCTACGAATTAAATTTCTGTGAAGTAAAAGTGGGTTGACCAAAAATGAAAAACAATTAATCAGTAAAAAAAAAAAAAAATGTAATGATTGATTAATTGGCAAATGTTGATATGACCAATTACCAGCCAATTAACTGGTGCAACCCTCATTGATACTAATTGTTAGTGAAAGAAATTTCTAATTTTTATTGATTTATTACTTGGTTAAATTCCTATAATTTCTCAGTAGCACCTTGTGTGTGTGTGCCAAATGTGTTATTTAGTTCTATACATCTGAAGTATTATTTAGTTGTATTGACATGTATGTAGATCTAAGGTATAACTCAAATTCTCTCTTCTGTCTTTTTATATAATTCATCCAAAAATCAATTTTAACTGTAAATGTTTCGACTTTATTATCATTGTCAATTTTTGTATGAAAATTTGATATTTGTCTATCATATTCTTCAAAAGACTTATAACTTGAAGAATGAAACACTTTGAATCTGTATTTAACTTTCAAGAAGTACTGTATTCATTTTTTTTTTTTTTTTTTAAATCTGATCATATCATTGCCAGAAGGTAGGGACATACAAAAGTTTATCTGTATATTGCTGGTTTGTTACTTGTAAGGATAAGAGAACAGTTTTCATTAGTGAAAGATGCCTTCCAAAATATAAGCAAAGTATTAAGAAATAAAAAAAATAAAAATTGATAGAAACAAAGAAAAAAACTACTGAACTGTGATGCAATATCAGTCCTCTTATATAGCAATGAATGCTGGTCAATCTCATCACAGATGAAAAATAGACTGGTGCCAACAGAAAGGTGATTCTACAGACGGATGCTGATAATAGCATGGACTGAACGTGTGAGCAACGACAAAGTTTTAGAGAAAATGGATACCAAAAGGACACTTATAGTTAACATCAAGAGGATATAGTTGAAATTTCTAGAATGCATAATGAGGAAAGAGGGCTTGGAAAATTTGATATTCACAGGACTTATTGACAGCAAAAGAAACAGTGTAAATGGATGGCAGAATAGGATTTTGGAAAGATAGCAAAAACAAAATTTACTAATAGCTATAAAGGACAGGAAATTGTGGAGAGCTGTGATCGCCAATGTTCTGGAGAGACATGGCACATAGAAGAAGCTCTTTTCAGGTTTCCTTTCTCACCTAGTGGTGATCAGCTTATATACACTATACTTGTAGCTATTCTTCAACAAGATGGCCAAGCTGTAGGGTTTGTTTGTTTTTTGAGGGAGTGGGGAGGGTCAGAGTGGCAGGGTCTTAAATAGACTGCCTTATACAGCTGAAGGACTCAATCACTCCTTACTTTTATGCCTATATCTTGGGGTGAGGGCAAGCAGCAGGAAATAATTCTTGATTTGACCTGTTAGGAAGATGGATGCATGTGTTTCCCAAGGGCATCAATATAAGAACCAAAATAGCCTCAGAATTTGAACTTTGAACACATTTTCTGTTAACTGTTTGGTCAACTCCCACACCATCATGGGGAATATACTGAGAATAAAATATGGTATTGTAAATGTTCATTAGTTACATAGTTTGTTCCTTTTAACTTATAACCATCAATAAATAATCTCTGCTGACAAGTAGGTAAGAAATTAATCGATTTGTTACATTATAAATAGTTGTTTATTCTTTTTAATCAAAGACATATCATTTGTTCTGATGATTGCACCAAGTATGAAATATTGTATCTTCAGTATAGAACATAAAAAAATATATCTCTAATATGTTTGAGATTGATGTCTGATTTCTTCTTTCTCTGTAACAAATGTATAAAAAAAAAAAAAGACACAAGATAATTTGTAGTTTTGAAAAATCTATAGCTATGAGTCATGTCAAGAGAGTAATTCTATTCAGATTAAATTTAAAGAAATAATATTAATAAAATAGCATTTTTTTTTTTTTTTTTTTAACTGTAACAATTTTGAAGATGAACATTTTTTAATTGAATTCACCCAAAGCAAGGTAGTAAAGCCACTAAGACACAAAGGGTTACTGGGTGTGAAAGAATTAGAAAGCAGAAACATAGTAAGGAAGACAGTAGATAACAATTGACATTGCATTTAAATTTATGACAACCAGAATTAGCTGGAATGCATGAAGCTATAAGAGTGTTCCACAAGCTAGAAGTGTGAGAAAAGAAACTGTTAGCATCGAACTGAAATTACATCTAGCCACTTCAATTGTAAATTGATGAGACCTTGCTAGTGCAGCACTTAAATTAATAAAGTCTAGGTATCATAGCAAAGAGATTATGCGAACAATTACCATGAAAGTATTTGCAGAAAAGGCATAAGGAAGCAACATTATAGTGGTGGGAAATTGACTGAAGCCGAGACACCAGGTCAGTACCAATACTTGTAAAATCAAACTGCAAATATCTCATTCACTGTTTAAAGATTCGTTTTCATTTTATTTCATTTCCTCTACTTGAAATAGACTTGCAAATTATTTTTTACTTTTGATCACTATTTAATCTCAGAACATTTTTATCTTCACACCTGCCTCTATCCAGACAAGGTGTTTAAATTTTGAGATTTTTAGTCCAATTTGTACCTTCAAGTTAGGTTTGTAATTTCATTTTTTTTTTTTTTTTTTTATTTGTTTATTTTTTTTAATTGACTCTTCTGGGTTTCCAGTGTGTTTGGAATGAAAAAATTTCTTGTTTAGTTTTGTTTTTAAAACTGTTTAGCACAAATTAATTCTTGATGAATTATCGACTGGGGGAATAATTGAAGGATGTTTGTATTGGCATCATAAATTGAAAGTGTTTGCAGGGAAAATGATGCATTAATCTATAATTGCTCGTTAACTTTCTTCATGAGCATTTTAAGATGTTTCCTTTGGGTTATAAATTTGGCACAAGAAAACTGATTTTTGTATTTGGGGTAATGGATATATTTTTTTTTACATTTTCATGTGCATCCATATGTATTTTCATGGATATGTGCAATATATATTTGATAATGTTAGTGCTAGATCGAGAATTATTCAATTGGACTTCTCAATCTAGGTTCTTGATTATTATTTTAATATTAGCTCTTTGATATTCTATAAACTTCATCACTTTTTCAACCATTGATTTTGTTACCTTTAATACTGTTTCAACTTTAACATGATTTGTAATACTTTTTATTGCTTCCCAGAGATGATCTTTGCTTGAATATTGTTTTCTAATCTCATATACATTTCTTTTAATGATGGCTCATATGTTTTCTATTGGATTATATCTGAAGAAGCAAGGAAGCAAACCATTATTTTATTAATTTATTTTGGAAAGGTTTTTTTTGTAAAGCATACACACTTTAGTGTAAAGCTTCTTGATGTGACTTCCATGAAGGACCCAACATCTAGCACAGTCATCAGGTCCATCAAAAGTAGGTCTACATTCATCACTAAATGGGACTATTAAGAAATCAGTTTTCATGCACTTCTTCATCCAACTTTGACATTTCTCTTTGTGAAGGCAGTAGTTTGGCTTCTTATATACCTTCCACCGATACAGCAGATATACCTCCCACTGTCTTACCATTATGTAGGAGGTATATCTGCTACATAATGTGTGTATATGTGCATATATATATATATATATATATATATACATATTTGTGTGTGTGTCTATTTGTACATAATGCACAGATAGTACACTTTTCTTCTCGCCAAGTCACACAGATACAGTGAGATGAGGTAAAAATAGAAATGCTAATCCAAATGTAATTAATTCTGATTTTTTAAAAATTTTTGTATTTGTATATATATATATATATATATATATATATATATATATATATATATATATATATATAAATTTTAAATATTAGCTCTGGATTTACATTGAGCTCTCAGGATTTCATCCTCCTTGGAATTACCCATATGGATTACCAAGTTCTTCATAACTTATATATATATATATATACACATATATATTTCTCCTCCCGATGATGGCCATTTCAGGCGAAACTAGTCGAGGAATCTAAATGAAATAATAATAAAAAAAACGGAAGAATAATAATCTACAACCCAGTGTGCCTGAAGATTTTAATTTTTTAATATTTTTTTATTGTTCAATATATATATATATAGTTGTATGGATATGAGTTAGTAACCTTGGGTTTCATGCTTTTGCTATCATCATTGTCTGATGATCACAAAAGCGTGAAACCCAGGGTTCCAAATTCATATTCGTACAAGTGAATATGTTAGCTCTATCACTGATATTGAGCACTTTTCAATAAGTACTGCACATATATATAGAAATTATATATATATATATATATATATATATATATATATATATATATATAGTCTTCTGTGTATGTTTGTAAAATCAAATATAGATGTATTGAACTTGATGCATCTGCATTTGTCTACACACACACACACAGGCATTGGTAAATTGATGTGTGTGTACATATGTATCAGTGCAAGGTGGCTGTTTGCCAGTGGAACTGAAAGGTACCCACTGTGTTAATGTATCTTTAATTAGATTCACTTGCATTCCATGCTGTCCGAGGTATTTATTGTAGGGTCTTGAGAACTGCCGGCTCCCTCTTTATGATTACATTTTCTCCTTCATTTTATTCCCTTCACCAGCACATTCTGTTCTCCCCACCCCCACCCACTTTCTCTCTCCTTCATATCTCCCCACCAATACTGTTCTTTGACTCTGTGAATATATACATTTGTAATTGTGCATTGCCTGAGATGGGCTATACTCTTTCTTTCCACACAGGTCTGACATAGATTTTATAAATTACTCACATAATAAAGATCATCTTCTGATACCCCACCAATTCTCACTTGTATACCTCTACCTTTCATCCACTTCTCTTTCTATCTTTCTTTGAGATATATATATATATATATATATATATATATATATATATATATATATATCTTTTCTACATTTCTTCTGCCTTTTATTTTCTAGTTTCACTTCTTTTTGTCTTTTTCTTCATTCTCCTTCTCCAACTTTTCTCTTTTCCTTTCCTTCTTTCATTTTCTTTTTCCACCTTTTCTTCTCGTCTCTGTAGCTTTAAGAGGAAAGGGGAGATGTTTAGAAAGGCGGGTGGGCTAAAAAGTGCCCCCTCCACCTGAATAAAATTATGAAATATAATGCAATCTTTTAATTTGTTCTTTTTAAAGATATATCATTTTTTTAAAAATATATATATATATATATATATATATATACACACACACACACACACACACACACACACACACACTTATAATCTTTCAGTATTTCTTCCTTTATTACCTCTTTTAAGTTTTTCCTCTCTTTTTATCTCTGTATTTAATTCATCTTTAATATATTTTTGTCTTGCTCCAAATTTCTTTTTTCTATCCTCCTCCTCTGTATATTTGCTTACTATCTCACCTTTTTTTTCTTTTTTAAACTTTTCCTCTTTCTCCATATTTTTCTCCTTTTCTTTCTCTCTTTCTGTACCTTACCCAATCCTTTACCCATACATATTTCTTAACATTCCTTTCCAGGTTAACCTCCTTATAACCCCCACTGGCCTGTCTAAAAGCAACTTAATAATATGATTACATCAAAGTATCCTACCATTATAAGCCATTATTACACATAATGCTAGTTTGGGTCTGTTTGGTTCAACTTCTTTTTTACTGACAAAGTGCACTCACCCATTGGTTATAGTGGAAGTCACATGACTATATATAATTATCATTCAGAGTTTAACTTTGAATCCTATTTTTAGAAAACAAAAATTCTTACATTGAGTACTTACATAGATACCAATGTCCATTTTTTTTCTAAAATAACTATATATATATATATATATATATATATATATATATCTCCAAGTATAGGATTGGTGTATACGGAATAAATTTCAATAACCAACAAATGCTATTCTTAAAAGTGTGCTCAATACAGAGTAGAGCAAATATAATTATTTATTCGAAAATTATAACATAAATATGTTATAAAATCACTACAAAAATAGCCATTTTGTTTCAACATTTTCACAATTTCTTATCAAGTGATGATATTAATTGACATTCAACATCATCACTTGATAAGACACCAGAAGTGTTGAAACAAAATGGCTATTTTTGTAGTCATTTTATAACATATTTGTTATAATTTTTGAATAAATAATTATATATATTAGCGCATTCACACGTTTTTTAAAAATCACCATCACAACAGAATACAAATTTTATTTAAGTTTATTTTTGGAATTTCACCCCTGAGGATGATATTGGAGGAGATCAAAATACTTAGGTAGGAAAAACTATGGTGCTTTCCTTAATGAATTTCATCATAACATCAAGAAACTGATCATAAAACTAGAAAGGATCATTATAAAAATAGACATAATATGTCTATATTATTTATGCTTGAATGAAGATATGCTGCCAAAATTATATAATGATGAAACTAAAAAAACATTATTCCATATCAAACACTAACAAAGGAGCAACCAAAGATTTGTGATATCCCAAAAACTTTATTGTGCATCCACATGTCTGCTCAATAAAAAAAATATACAAAGAATATTTTTGTCATCTACTTATATATAGATTAGGATATGATTTTTTTTTCTTGACAAAGCTGTTAAAATATATTTAAAATAGCGGAAGTAGCTAATTTTGTAAATTTAGAGAGCAAAAGTTACTGTCAAGTTGAGAAGAGAAAAAAAAAAAAAGAATTAATTTTAGGATAAAATTTTGTGACAGTTGAAAGTTCTATCTTTATTTCTTTTTGTATACTAAAAATACTATTACTCTTAGAGATTAATACTTGAATAATTCTTAAATTGAATTCACCCCCTTGTCTTGAAGATGCAAAAAAGAACCTCGACAGGTCATTACTTCAGTCTTCTGCATCACCACTTAGCCATTTGTTCAGATTGTTAGTTTTTTATTATTTATTTATATATTTATTACTTGCCTTAGGTGCCTTTCCAAAATCAACAATTTTATTTGATTTTTTTTTTTTTTTTCTCTCTGTGAAATAAATATTTTTCAGTGTGTTTCTTAACATTTCTTTTATGGGTCCTACCAACCACCAAAATGTCAACAGTTTGTTAATCCAGAACTCTGATAGCAATGATTTTTTTCTTTCTTTCCAAGTGTGAATGGGCCTAATAGACTTTTCTAAATTTCTTTTGCTCTGCCTCACTTTTGATTATCAGGTTAACAAATATAACAAAATAAACATAGCAGTTATTAGTAATCTACAGACACATACTCAAATATAGATGAACACCCATTTTGGCCTTTTAACTAACATCACACACACACACACACACACACACATATATATATATATATATATATATATATATATATTCACATACATTCACTCACATACATAGATATACATCTATATAAATAGATATACATCTATATTTCAGCCCTTTAGCTAAGATTACATGCACACACACTTTATATATATAAAGAAAGAAAGAAACCTCTTGCTTAAGATATTCTGATTTTGTAAAAATACGTTTTCATTCAATAATAGCTTTTTTTTTTTTTTTCACTAGAAAAAATTTTTTTTTTTTTTTTTTTCAAATGGAACAATTAATTTACATAAGCATTGTTTCCAAAGATACGTAAATCTAATACTTTAAAATGTCTAAATTCAATTCTCGGATCTATACACATTTTGTAAGAACAGATTAACTTCTAAGATATATTTCACTTTTTCTTTCATGTGGAGTCACCAATTCTAAATATATTAGGCTTTTTTTTTGTTATGTACTGTTTTATAAATATAATTCATGTGTTCTCTAATGCAATTCTGAAAGCGTTAAATACAATTCAGCTGTTCCAAAACAGAATTCTTGCTCATTGAGTTTTTATCTCCAGACTCAATTACATTGTGCGTATTTAGGAGAAAAGGAAAGAGAGAAATGAGAGAAGAGATGAATGCTTGGTATTATTTGTTGCTACAAGGTTAATAGGTTAATCTCAGAAAGTCCTTGTTTAATCAGCCAAATCCCAGTCTCCGTAAATATCCACTTCTCTATTCCTTTGTTGATCATCTCAAAACTTTTAATCTCTTCAAGTCTTACTTTCACTGATTGCATAAATTCACTAACCCCCCCACCCCACCCTATCTCTCTCCTGCATCTGTTGAATACTATCCATTTGGGAGCATTTAGGCTTGACTGCATTACTAAACTTTATGTTAAGCTAATTTGGAGTTTTCTTTCACTTTTTCTCCTTTTTCTCTTTCTCTCTTTTTTCTTTATAGGTTTCCCTCTCTTGCCCCACCATTTTTCGTCTTGTTAGTACAGTTTCTGAAATGGGACCCTTGCACTCTTAACTGGGTTTCTCAGTTGAACTTTCACTTTCTATCTTGTGTCTTATTAACTCCTTTCTTAAATGGTCATTAAACAAAATGTGTGTGCATGGTTTATCTGATTTAAAACATATTTATTCAATAAAATTGTGTTCTTTTTTTTTCTTTTTGAAATTCAAACACAAAATGAAAATAAGCTGCTTTATGCTTGTACGACCTTAGAATTATTTTGCTTTTTTTGAAGATTGAATTTTCTTTGCCTGACCCTCACTTCCTTATTTTCATTTCTCATCCATTCTATTTTTTTATCTTATTTTTTTATTCTCCCTTTTATTTTTCTTTCTTTTTCATTATTCTTTTCTTTTTCATTATTCTTTTCTTTTTCATTATTCTTTTCTTTTTCATTTTTCTTTTCTTTTTCATTATTCTTTTCTTTTTCATTATTCTTTTCTTTTTCATTATTCTTTTCTTTTTCATTATTCTTTTCTTTTTCATTTTTCTTTTTTCTTTCTTTTGCCTTCACTCTCTCTTCTTTTATTTGTTTTTCCTTTTTCTTTCTTTTGCCTTCACTCTCTCTTCTTTTATTTGTTTTTCCTTTTTCTTTCTTTTGCCTTCACTCTCTCTTCTTTTATTTGTTTTTCTTTTTTCTTTCTTTTGCCTTCACTCTCTCTTCTTTTATTTGTTTTTCCTTTTTCTTCCTTTTCTTTTTACTCCACCCTTACCTTTTTTCTCTCTTTCACCTCTACCCATCCCCTTCCCATGTTGATTCCAAATGCAATTTTCCATTCTTAACCTTGTCACTTCACATACCAATCATACGGAATAATAATGCCCTGGTTGTTGTATATTTATACTAGTGGACACACACACACACATATATATATATATATATATATATATATATATATATATATATAGGGAGAGAGAGACAAAGAGACAAGGAAAAACTATACTTAGCTGATGCATTTCGTCCTCTGAGGGACTTTGTCAGAGGACAAAACGCTTCAGCTAAGTATAGTTTTTCCTCTTGTCTCTTTTTTTATTCATTTTGTCTTTTCTACAGATACACTCCATTTGGGAATATATTATATATATATATATATATATATATATATATATATATATATATATATATATAGTTAATGTCTGCATATTTCTGTGAGAAGTCTTAGCTTCCTTGACCCTTCTGTTTTCACATCCATTCTAAAAAAAAAAAAAAAACTTATTTACCTGATTTGCGATTTAAAAAAAAAAAAAAAGACACCCAGGTTCAGGTTTATGTACTGTATTCAGGGTTAGAGGTTACTTATTGGTATTTATTTCAAATCATTCCTCATCCCCTCTGAACTAGATCCTCTGCAGATGGTAGGGAAAAGACTAGGCCCTTGGCAACAAGGATTAAACATATTTATTCTTATTTTATAAAAAAAAAAATAATAAATAAATAAATTTTGGCAACCTTTCCTGGATTTGTTTTTTTTTTTTTTTTTTTTTTTTTGTCCAGACTGAGGTATTTTAAAATTCATATATTAATTGGCAGTTTTTTAAGGTCATTATTTAATTGTAAAAAATGGAAAAAGAATATTAATGATTTCTTTTATACAATAATTTACTTGGACTAATGTCCTCATCTTTCTTGTAATTAGAATTATGTGAGCATTTTACTTTACAAAATTTCAAATGAAACTCTTTATTCAATCTACAGGGAAGGATCATTCTTATTTCACTGGCTATACTAAGGGATATTTTCTATCACTTCATTCTTAACTTGTATTTGTCATGTCATTAGTCTCTTCCACTGAACCTGAATGAGTGTGTGCGTGTATATAATATATACATACACATACTAATTTACTTGGACTAATTAACAATTAACTGGTAGTTGTGAGTTAAATCCCTTGTTTGAATAAGAAGAAATTATATATAAATATTATCATGCTTCTATCAATTCATAGTTCAGGTTTATAATATTCCAAAGAAAAACACTGGAACACAAGATTAGTGAAAAACTGTTTAATTACATGGATTAATATTACAATACTAGCGAATATCATAGTGCAACACCCTTTGCAACTACTGCATGACTTCTTTGTGTCCCACTTGCGACTATTTTCATAATCAATGGAAGAGTACATGTTCAACACTTTAGTGTAGCGAATGTCTGGCATCTTTCTATACAACATATATATAGAGGTACAAACACAGAAATGTGATACGTAAAGTTTAAAATGAATTTTTAAAAATGAAAAATCTTTCTTGAATCGTCTATTTTAGTTTTGATTTCAAGCTAATTGATTAAATTTAATATTTCCAAAAAGCAAAAATACTTTATTGTATTTCAAAACTAATTTAAATTGACTGGAGGGAGTTTTTTTCTTTTTAAAATTACTAATATCACTGATTTATACTCAATTGAAACAGGGTTGGCAATAACTGAGCATTATTAGTCAAGACAGCGGAATGAGAATAATCTACCCCTGTAGATTAAAGTGTTCAGTTCAGAATTCCCTGTAGGTTACCGAAGTCAATATACACCTGATGAAGGCTGAAGGGCACAGTGGCCAAAACATTGTGATAACAACAACAAAGATGAGGACAATAGTCCACATGAAAATAGAGTAAATAATGATAACTCCTCATCCCAGAAATTCAGACAGAAATATTATTTTTCTATCTCCTTTCATTAAAACGGCTTTGAAGTTTGATTTGGCATTGTATGACCCACGTAGTTGGTAATGTGCCAAACAGCTTGTTTAGAATAGAGGCTAAAAGAAAAAAAAAAAAAACTTTTAAAAATGACAAAAAAAAAAAAAGAGAAAAAGAGAGGGATATTAGTCTGCATAACTTCCCAAATTGATGCTGTTTTCTTTGCTTCAACATAAAACTTGTTATTTTGTTGAGCTAACATGGGTAACAAGATGTCTTGATTTTGTTCTCTGGCTTTATGCCAGTCTTTTGCAGAATGAGTAGAAATGTTTTCAAGATGTTTCTTGTTAGTGGCATGCAACCGATACAAAAGTCTCTCTTAGAAAATTATAATTGAGCTTTATTGATTTGAATGCCTCCATTCTTTGAAACAGGGGATGGGGAATTCAAACTATAATAGATTCTAATAATAATTAACTTTTGTACAAGAGTACAGATATACAAATACATGGTTGTGCAAATAATATTATATACCTTAGTTTGTCTGTTTAGGGTCTGTTTGTTTGCTTTTATGTATAATCTTTAGATATATACAAAAGGGGGTGCAAAAAAGGGGTTGACTGACCAAGAAGGGATCAAAAAATATTCTGTTTTGTTAGATTTTGAGAAGACAGTTGGGCTAAGAATTTTTTACCACTCCTTGATAGATACTGTAAATAAATATGTACCTGCATATATATATATATATATATATATATATATATATATATATGTGTGTGTGTGTGTATAATAAAAAATTAGATCAGCTGATTCTGCTACCTTGGTTTCAACCTTTCAGCATCTTCAGGTGATTTTGGTCAATTGATTTCCTAATGTTTTATTTTATGATAATCTGAATGCGTTTTTGTGCATCTAGTAGGCATTTTCATTTATGTTTGATAGTTATAATCTCTATGCATTTTGTCTAGAAGGGATTTTTTTTTTCTTAAATTCTTCTGTTCAACCATTTGGTTAAATTATTTTGGAAGTGAGTTAGACCAAGAACTTTACAACAGCCTTCACACTCTCTACCCTCGATTATATATTTAAGATGGGCATCTTTCCTACCCGAGAAACTATTTATACCTCATCCTCGAGGGAAAGTAAAAATATTTCTTCCCGTCACTTTTGAATAATAATTTGTATGATGAATTCATTCTAACTTAGATGTACAAGTTATTGCTCAGTCCTAATTAGCATCAGTTTTATTAATAATTATGAACAGGCTAAAGTCGGGAGGGTGTGGCAGTAATGAGCAGGGATAATGGAATCAACAAACTAAGTTTGGCTGAGACTTCTTGCATAAACCTGCTTTTCCCCAACATCCCAGCCCTTGATAAATAGTTCTCTTGTTTTGGTTGGTAACCACTCTAAGATTCTAAATCAGGCATGGAAGCTGTACATCAGATCAATGGTAAACTCGACTGTCTTGCTGGCAATTCCTGCAACCAAGCTGTTCACTGGTTGTCATGTTTCACCATACCACCTGGTAAAGAAAAATACTTTGCATGTTCAGTGAATGGATTCTCACCAGGGACATATTGATTGCTGTTCAAAATCTATCCTGCACAATTACAGACATTGAAATGACAGCCAAAAGATAAGGGAAAAAAAAAAGATGTTTCAAGAAAGTATTATACAGGGTGCGATGGGTAAATTGTCGCTATTTTATTTTTTATTTCATGCTTTACACATTGTTTTCAATTTTGTCAACTGCACAGTAATTGGATCAGCTGGGCACCATCTGTGAGAAAAGGAGCACCATGATGCAATTCACTTCATCAGAAATTTGGAAATAGCATGCTGTACTGTTTGGCATTCACACCAGAATCGCCACTATGAACATTTCAGTGTTTGGACGTCAATCTGAGGATAGCGCAGAGATTGAGTCTAATGGTGATTATGAAGTTGTTTAAATCGACCACTATTGATAACATTATGCCACTACTCATCTTCTCACAGGGCCTCAGATTCAACACTGAGGCCTACATCAAGTACCTTGAGGAGGTAGTTATGCTCTGGTTCAAGAGGATGTCTGCTGGAAGACCCTATGTCTGGCAACAGAACTCTGCACCATGACACACAAGCAGGAGAACCCAGTCATAACTGTCAAACAATTTCTGTGACCACATCATCCCTTACATCTGGCCACCTACCTCTGCAGATTGCAATCCCTTTGATTATTATGTGTGGGGGTGCAGTTGAGTGAGAGGCCAACAAAACTCCTTGTAACACCAAAGATGAACTGAAAGCAAGGATTATATCAGCATTCATCAGCTTAAACAAGGAGACCATCCAGAAGAGTTGCAGGAGATTCTGAAGTTGTCTGAAGGCCATGGCTGAAGCCAATAGCAATTTTATTGAATAAATTTACTCTTTAGTATTTCAAGATATTTTTGTGTAATTTTGAAAAAATGTGTGTTAAAATTAGATGTCGGTGTTAGTTTGATTTTTGTGTTAATTTAGGTGACAATTTATCCATCGCATCCTGTACATGGTTCTATTTATTACTATAGTAGTGTGCAATCTGCCACATTGTTTCCAGTGAAATGAGCTCTCTTTCTTTTAAAATTGATTTAAGAAATTAAAATTTAGTACAAAGCAAATTTTTATTACACATTTACATCTTTTTATTAATAAATGTTTATTAAAAAACTTAAAATCATTAAAAGGCATTTAAAATATTAAATCTTGTAACAGTCTGGACATCTTGTAAAAAGACGATAAACAAATTGGCTTCAGTTTTTCTTATCATTTTCCAGCAAAAATAGTCATGGTCAGATTTTAAAAATTACATTTGGGTAATATTCTTTGGCTAGCATCGTGTTATTTATGGGGTTTTACATTTCTTTTTCACTTTAATTTGAATACTTTACTTAGATCCAGTGACTCATAGAAAGAATCATGACTCAAATAGTGAGGTAAACCATATGCAACAATATGGTAGACTTCAAATACTGAGGTAGACCGCATAAAACAATATCGTAAACTTCAAATACAGAGGTTGACTATACTACAATAGCACCTCATATTTTTATGTTAAATGTTAGAACATACACGTATATAATCCTGGGACAAGTTTCTGTACAACAACTTTGTTTATATGAGATTTTAATAGAATGATATATTGACATTGTTTCCTTTTCAAATACTTCTGGCTAATTTTCCCACAATTACTTTCTACTAGTTCTTAATAATATTTTCAAACCACAAATCTATATTCCACAGTCCCTTTAACAAGCCACTCATCAAAAGAATATCCCAGACTACCAGCCTTCAACAAAATACAATCAATTATATCAAATATTATATGATATATTGCCCAAATAAATATATCCTGAAAAATTTACCAACATTGATTCATTAATACAAATTTTATTGTTAAAACATTGATTTGCATAATAAAATGTGTGCATGTGCTTATATATCCACATAATGAATGTATGTGCATGCATATTTTATATATTTTTACAAAAGCTGTTTTTCTTTGATGCCGCAGCCAATGTTGCACTGATTTCTCATTTGTATGCACCCTCACCCAAATATGTACATGCCCATAAAACTCCATGTAGCCACATACATACAGATGCTGACACACTTGAACTGGGGTTGCTATCTTTTGAAGTTTGCTTCATCTTTTCACTTTGATCTCTTTCCAAGTCACTGTTTAAAGTGCAGTCATATTACATAGTTTTTATTTTGTATAACATTTTTTTGATCTCTCATCTTTCAAAGATTTTAGCATAATTATGGACTCTATCACACGCCCAACCCCAACAATCCTCTGCCACTTAGCCCCAGAAGTATAAAATATTTCACAATTTTTCTGTTTTTTCTTTGATTTTAAGAACTGTCTTTAAAACCATTTAAATTCATCTGTTCTGATAGTTCACATTCTGCCTTCTTTTAGCTTTCTGCCCTCCTTACTCTGTATCCAGCTCATTGTCTGTCTGTCTGTTAGCAAGCTCACCTTTCATGCTTGGAAACAGATGGTTTCCAAGCGCGCCCTTCGTGTCTGTCTGCCTGCAAGCCTGCAAGCTTCGTCTTCTGTCTGTCTGCCTGCAAGCGCCTCTTCGCGGTTCGTCTGCCTGCAAGCCGCCGCCTTCTTCGTCTGTCTGTCTGCAAGCGCGCCCTTCGTGTCTGTCCATCCATCTCCAGACACAATGTAGATTACCTAGTTCATCTGGTGAGCACAATGGCTGAAATGTTGTGAAAAAAACAAAGATAAGGACAACTGTTCAAATGTATACAGTTTAAAATAAAGCCTTTTAAATCCGTTAATTCTTTAGGAATTGTGAGATTTTCTTTTTCTTTTTTTTAAATAAACCATTCAATGACAAAAAAACATAATTTAATGCCATTTTGATACCAGGAGAAACTCACCAGAAGGATTAATGTATTCCCTGGCCATTATATTTTTTTAAGTGGTCATTTTAGTTATTCATTTTTTAAATATTTGATTTTTGACTTCTTTTTTTTTTTTTATTGTCTTTTTTGTTCACATTTATCCTTTCATCCATTTTAAAATTCATTCAATTAATTGATTTCTTTCTCCATTTGTTTATTGCTTCCTCCTCCACATCACTTTACCATTTTTTCGACTTCAAATTTTCATTATCTCCTTTTAATAACCTTACATTTCAGCATTTGACACACATTTTTAACTTAGTTTCTCTATAATTTTAACTTCCTCTCCATCTTTCATTTTTCATCTGAGAAATGTAGTAAACCTTTATTAATTCAGAATTCTAAAATCTCTTTTCATCTAAGATAGTTAATAAAAATTATTACTTATTGTTTGTGACACATCAAAAATTTACACGCACACACACACTTCCCTTCCTTTCTGCCATGCGACAATGGTCTAGGGGTAAGATATCTGTCTTATGTCAAATAAGTAGGGTTTCAATCCCGGCTTGAAGCAATTGAACATCTAGCCACACTGAGAAGTTTTGATGCAGCAAAACTGTCTGTGGATCACACACACACACACACACACATATATATATATATATATATATATATATATATATATATATATATATATATAATATATATATATATATATATATAATATATATATATATATATATATATATATATATATATATATATATATATATATATATATATATATATATATATATAATATATATATATATAATGTATATTTTAGGTAATCTCATATAGGAGGAGAAAGTAAAAGTTGAAAATGTGACTAGTTTTTAAGAATGTTTATTTAGAGTAACATTACTGGTTTCACAGTTCTGTGATTTTCAAAAGTTAAATTGAGGTGGAGGAACATGTGGTATGCCATGATAAATCTCATATCTCTCTCATACTCACACACATACACAGATACAGGCATATCTATCTATCTATCTATATATATATATATATATATATATACACATACACACACATTGAAAGAGGCAGTACAGGCATAAGAATCAACTTATTCAGTCCCTGTGATACTGAGCATTCTTCCCTTGTAAATATTCGAAATTTTAAATATACATCATATAAAGCTGAGTTTACAAGGCTTTTAAATTTATAATTCCAGTCTCAAGTATTAAGTTAATTATTGCAAAGCTCATATTAGGGAAGAATAGATTTTGATTTTTAAAATGGATCAGCCAAATGTTTTCTTTTACTGATATTCTCATTCATAAATGAATCTCCATTCCCAAAAGACTCTTGATTAGTAAAACACATCTACGCAAATATCTCATATTACTCTGGCCTTTTGCCAGATTAAACTAAGCTGAATTCACTAACAATCAGAATTGTACATATGGATAAAAAAGGGTAAGATGAATTCTGAACAAGCCCTTTTTTAGTCATTATTTACATTTGAACTAATGTCCTTATGTTTGTAGTTATATTTTGGCTGTTAGTGTTCTATCCTCCGGCCTTCTTTTTTATTCAATATTTGGCAAAATTAGTTTGATTCAGAACTCTTAACATGGTCACCAATCAATTGTTCAGGTTGATCTGCAGTCTCTGATTAATCTGTGGACATTTTTAAAGTTTTTTTTATTCATTGAAATTTTTAACTTGATATTTCTGGTGAGAACACACAGGCATAAATAATCCATCTTAAATGGATCATGAACAATTTCTACATATCAGAACAATGTTAGGTAAATGAATGACAAAGTGGAAAATTTCTATGTAACATGTTTCATCCTCTAGAAGGATTTCGTCAGACTAAAGTAATGTTCTTATTGATGGAATGTTTGGATAGACATCTGTTTTTTTTTTGTTTTTGTTTTTTATTTATTAATTTAAACAGTGAAATGTATAACATCCTAATGATCAAAGGTCTTATTAAGACTAACCTAGTGGTCACTAAACTGTTGTTAGTAGGTCAGGAGTCACTCTTTCATTTCTCCTCTTTGGCAGTAAAGTCAAAATAGTTCTGAGGGCAACTACTATATAGTCGGGTATTGAACCTAAAACCTATGCACCTCTTGGATCTACAGCAGCCACATAAGTCTGAATAAAAACCTAAGTATATTTGTCTTATCCAGTGGTGGGATTCAATTATTAGGGGAGGGATTGGATTCTTTCTTTCTTTCATTTACATCCCAAATTTTTTGACTCTGAAAACTTCCTGTTAGCTTTCTCCAGTTTATAGTCCATCACTAGCCACAATGTGAAGAAACAAGAGCATTTAAAAACCATTTCTACCAACTTGTGTAAGGTTAGTAAATGCTTTGTTAGGAAAGTTAATAACAAAGGGGTACATTTTTTTTTGTGCAACCCATTTCATCCTTTAGGACTTTGTTCGAATAAAGTAATGTTTAACATGTTTGGGTTTATAGTCTAACCAATTTCATTTAGTTTCTTATTGTTTATTTTTATCACTTTTGTTATATAGTATCCCACATTGTGATAATAAAAAAAATCTGCCAAGGAAGTTGAAATGTTGCCAGTATACAAATTTACTGTGGATGATCTAGGGATTAAAACACTTTTTATACACTTTCATTTTAGTAAATTGCTTTCCCTTTTAATTAAAGTAGCATTTTTAAATCAAAATTATGGTCAGATTCATTATGATGAACAACTAAGGCAGTGAATTGTTTTTTAAAAGAGCTCTTTTGTGTTTATATAATCTTTTATTTAAATCCCTTGAGGTTTCTCCTATGTATTCCTTCTGGCAATCATTATAGGTGGTAGAGTAAATTCCTCCTTCTGGTATATAAAAATGTATATATCATTTTCTCCTATACATGGTTTGTGTAAACCATTGCAAATCACATCACTGAACTTATCACAGATTTATACATAGTGCTTTTTCTGTTATAAAAGTTTTCACTGTGTAGATATTTACTCAGTTTGCTGTAACAGTGGTGTGTACACTCAGTGAGGATCTATCTCACTACATTAGCAGGAACTGTGAGAATAACTTGCTTATCACTACTCTGTCAAGGTAGATGACTTTGATCATATATTTATTACTTATCTGATTAGATGCATCTTACTTAGTCATTTCTATTCTTAATCACTTACATTCTTAATACTTGCAAATCGTTCCTTAAATTATTTTAAAATATAAAAGCTCTCATTTTTAGAATCATTCTTTTACAAATGATGAGATTAAAATGAATTGCCTCTCCCTCCCATCTGCTTTCCTGCTGTTGCTTCGTCCATCACTTCCTCAACCTCTGCCCGACACTGCTGCCATCTTGAATTGGTATCAAATATAGAAAAACCAGTTTCTATTTTTGACACTCTATCCAGTTTGTTTGAAAATGCAATTATTCCATTTAATCAATTTCCAGCAGGTCCTTCAATTTATTTTAAATTGAAATCATAAGATCAGGAAAATTAAAGATGAAGAGATGGTTACTTTGGTAGTTTTCTTTTCCACCATTTTTTTTTTTTTTTTTTTTTTAAGAAATTTTCTGAAATAATTTTTTTTATTTTACATCATTCTGTATTTTTCTTATGTTTCTCTGTGAAAAGGGGATTAGTTTATTTTTGATAATTTCATTATTTGTCTTTAAAAAAAATTCTCTTTCCTGTAGTTTTACTTTTAGTTTTGTTTTTTTATTAAATTTCAATTTGTCTCCCACTCCGACTTCCCTTCCACACTGTACACTCTTCCCATCATTCAATTTGTTACAATGAAATGTAATTGGTAATTCTGAAAATTTTCCTAATTACATCTAACTCATATTTCTCTGTCACTTCTTTCTCTCTCTCTCTACAGGGGCAAATTATTCTCTTCTAACTATTGCTGGCCCATTCATATTTGTTTGATTACCATTTCACTTTTATGTTATAAATAAGTTAAAATATGAAGTGCAACTAACCTGGCTTTTCTCTTTAGCTTTACCACTCCGAATTGACCTTAATTTATCCCAAGTCTTCTTTTATCTCGGATAATTTAGAATGTTCATGTTTATTAGATTTACATTTACTTCATAATAACTCTGACATTCTACCCCTCGTACAATATCGTCCGGCATTCATCTTATATACATTATTCCAAGCGGTTTTCTATTTTGCAGTTTTTTTGTTTTTTTTTCTTTTATTTCTACAATCCATCCATGCAGTGTTATTGGTGGTGGTGGGAAGTGGTCTTCAGCTCCTTCACTTTTTCCTAGAACTGAGAACTATTAGGTTGGCCAGAAAGTCCTGACTCATTTAGGAAATGGAAAGAAAACACAACAATTTTATGGAGCAGCATCAACGTTTATTCTTCAAAATAAAGTCTATCATTCTCGATGATGATCTGCCAGCTATTGCTTTGAATAAAAAAAAAAAACTGTAAACAAGCTTCCTCACTTTTTAATCACTGGTCTTAGAGGAAGTGTACTATTGAGCAGAATAGGCCATAGTCACTCAGATATGGGTCTGAATGGTGGATGTGGAAGAATCTCAACACTGTCCATTTGTTTGAACTTCTCCTTAGTCAACCTGGCAGTGTGTGGCCTTGTATTGTCTTGCTGAAACAAAGCCCAACCTCAATTGACCAAACCAGGATGCTCTTTCTTTAGTTTGTTGTACACATTGTCTTGCTGCTGGCAATACAGTTTAGTATTGATGGTGCGACTGTGTGGAACAAGCTCGAAATGCAGTACTTCTTGGAAATTCCACTAGACAGAGATCAAAATTTATTGTTTTCTTCCCATTTCCTAATTAAGTCAGGACTTTC